CTGGGCTTAGGCGATTCTTCTGCCTCAGCCTCCCAAGTAGCTGGGACTACAGGCGCCCGCCACAACGCCCAGCTATTTTTTGTTGCAGTTTGGCCGGGGCTGGGTTTGAACCCGCCACCCTCGGTATATGGGGCCGGTGCCTTACTCACTGAGCCACAGGCGCCTCCCATGTTGACTATTCTTGAATTTCTTTCTCATATCTGTAATTGCAGTTCCAACTGCCAGAGTCCCAGACAATAGTGTTTTACCACCTATCTGCATTTTCTTTGCTGTCTCTCTTTCTAATTGAATATAGACTTTGACCGTGGCTTTGAATTAGTTTATTTAAGTAGAGCCTATGGCCTCTTCTGTGCACCAGTGTTCTGTGCTACTGGTCATCCCCTAACACAGTGTTTTTCAACCTTTTTTATCTCACAGCACACTTGATCCTCTAGTTAAGCTTCCAGGGCACACTTAAATTATGTTGATCAAAAAAAAGAGTAAACAAAAAGAATGTATTTACTGTGGTTTGAACATCTTTCAAAAATAGTTTAATTAATGATCCTTAAAATTTTTTTGCTGCACACCTAAGATCCTCTCACAGCACACTGGTTGAAACTCATTGCCCTAACATCTAGGCAGCCACACTATTCCACATGTTTATTTATACACCTTATCTCCTATCATCACTCTTTTTTCTTATTAAAATTTTCTTTTATAAGGCCAGGAGTAGTGGCTCATGCCTAAAATCCTAGAGCTCTGGGAAGGTGATGAAGGAAGATCAGTTGAGCTCAGGAGCTTAAGACCAGTCTGAGCAAAAGTGAGAGCCCACCTCTACTAAAAATAGAAAAATTAATAGCCCATCCAGAGGAGAGATCACAATGAGCCATAAATGTATATGAAGTAAAAAAGAAAAAAATATGTAAGGTTCTCAATGAATCCCCAACAATAAAAACAAACAAACAAAAAACATGTAGAAAAATTAGCTGAGCATGGTGGTGGGTGCCCATAGTCCCAGCTCCTCACAAGAGGAGAGGACTGTCTGAACCTGAGAGTGTGAGTTTGCTGTGAGCTAGGCTGACACCATGGCACTCTAGCCTGGGCAACAGAGTAAGACTGTCTCAAAAAACAAAATCTTCCTTTACTCAACCTTGACTATCTTTATTAAAAGCATTCTCCCCCACCCCCACCCCCCTCATCCCTTTTTAACTTTTGTGCATCTCCCTGCTCCTTCCAGGCACTGTCTACCATTGTGCATGTTCTTCCTTTGACCTGTAAGTGAAAGAAATCACGTGTACTGTTATAAATCTGAGACTTTCACAGAAATGGAGTTTTCTGGCACAAGATGTGCCCTGTATTGCAGGTGGATCTGTAGTGGGCTTCCCCAGCTTGAGCCTCTTCACATCTGTTCAGAGAGGCTGCCCAGTTGTCCTTCACTCCTCTGTGCCTGCTGCCTTCCTCCCTTATCATCTCACCTTTTGTTCTCCTCCAGCTGTTTCCTGACACTCTTATCATTTTGCTTCTTGAATTACCTCCCCGCCCCCCACAAGCTCATCTTCTGTCTGCCAAAGCTCACCTTCTCCCTTGAGCCTTTCTTGAGCTGTCCCTTGACAGCCTCTAGTTGCCAAGTATTATCCTCTTTCCATCCAATGACGCCCCTCCTCTTTTTATTTTCTTCATGTCTATGTGTATCTGATTCCATTTTAAATTGGTAGATACAGGCTTGACTAGTGCTTACACAGAGCCTGGCTGCAAAACCATTTGTGGAACTTAGTAGTCCTCCCTCAGTGCCTTTTGCCTTGGCATTACCCTATCTTCCTACCCAGTCACAGTGAGGATAATGAAGTGTCACAGAGTGGGACATACCTTGAAGTGCCCTGCATGGTGTCATTTGCTCTGTAGGACTTCCTTCACTTGCTTGTTATTAATATCATTACTGCCCTGTCTGGGGTTATTTTTATCTACAAAGGGCCCAATGAGCTCTTTTATTAGTTATTCTTTACTCTTGCCTGATTTGGGTGACTATTATATTTGGATGCTGTTCAGAAAGAAGAGTGCAGCCAAGAGCTGACAAACTATCTGTAGAGTGTCCAAAGCTTTACACATTACAGAAATTGTCTTGAATCCAGAATTTCTTTGTTTTCTTCTATCAAGCAAAGTGAAATGCTCCTTCCCAGAGTCCTCAGAATCTTGGAGGTTAGAGGCAACATTTCAGCACTTTGAGTCTTTTTCCTTCAGAGAGTTTTTATCAGCACCACCACCACACCAGGGGCAAAGCTCTAAGAATTAAAAGTCAGAGCAGCCCGCTCCCAACTGCAGCAGCCGAGGACATTCCAACCCCTGGGCTGGGCCTCTTTCCTTCTGACTTTTGGCTGCTGCACCCATTCTGTAGGAACCTCTCACCCCTACAGGCAGCATGTTTCACATTCTGGACTCTCCCCTTCCTCCCCAAACACAAGCTCATATACACAGAGCCTTGAGAATATTTAGGGAAACTAGAACTTTCTGCTGTAAAACCCCTTCCCAGCAGTGGCAGCTTCCCTCTCGTCATGTTATCCTCTGAGAGGAACCATCAGTTGTCCCCCTACAAGGCTCCCAGACAGCCATGGGTGACTAGGATCTCTCCAGCCATTTTTAAGATGCCTCTGAGGGGATATATTTGGTTCAGAGTAAAAGAGCCTGGCTTCGTCCATACATTCAACAACCTCAGGTTTCTCCTAGGTTTGAGGGGCCCTGCTAGGTAACCAGCGTGGGCAGATTAGGAAGCTAGCAGTGGCTGCTGCTCCGTTAACTCTCTCCTTGCTTTTGTTCCAGGTGAGGGCTTCCACAACTACCACCACACCTTTCCCTATGACTACTCGGCCAGCGAGTACCGTTGGCACATCAACTTAACTACATTCTTCATCGATTTCATGGCTCTCCTCGGCCAGGCCTATGACCGGAAGAAAGTATCCAAGGCCGCCATCTTGGCCAGGATTAAAAGAACTGGAGATGGAAGCTACAAGAGTGGCTGAGTTTGGGTCTCTCAGGTTCCTTTTCCAAAAGCCAGCTGGGCAGAGGTTTAATGTGTGTTTATTAACTACTGAATAATGCTATCAGGATGCTAAAGATGATGATGTTAACCCATTCCAGTACAGTATTCTTTTAAATGCAAAAGTATTGAAAGCCAACAACTCTGCCTTTATGATGCTAAGCTGATATTCTTATTTCTTCTCTTATCTTCTCTCTCCTCTAGTCCCCTCTTCCCTTTTGCTTTATTCCTATCACCTTCTTTTCTCTTCTCCCTCATTGCCTCCCAGGCAAGCAGCTGGTCAGTCACTGGTCAGCGTCCAGCTTCAAAAGCTTAGGTAAGTTTTCTGCAGTCTAAAACTAACAGTCTCTGCCTCAGATGATTCTCTTTCCTTGAGCTGTTGTGAGCTTCAAGGTCGGTAGCTCAAGCTAGAAACACAACAAACTCTTCTGGGCAATTCCCTGTTCATTATTTTCAGCCCAGGCTTTTGCTAGATGGAATGGAAAAGTAACTTCATTTGGCACAAGGCTTCTATAGCAGGTGAATTGTCAAGGGAGAGAGTTAGCATGCACAGTATGATTGATAAGGAAGGATGAGGTCAGAGTGGGAAAAAAAGGCAAGAGGACACTTTTGCCATGGTTAGACGTGCAGTTGTCTACCTAGTGAGGCCTTCAAGCCCTGTCACACAGCATGCTTCCTTTCTCTCTAGACTGAGCAGGGAATGGCTGTGGAGCTTGGCAATGCTAAAACACAGGACAAATCTCAATGTCATAACGTGTATAGTATAGGCTGCGGATAAAGATGAAGCATTTAGTTAGTTTCTCTGCTGGGAAGGATTTTTGTTTTCTTTAATCACAAGGTGATTTCTTGGTTGATATATCAGGAAGTCTTAAGGTTGGGTGTTTCCAGAATTGGTGAATGCAGCAGCTCATAGAATTTGAGGACTCCATGAGCTGCTCAACACAATTGGCGCATCTTTCTGCTCCGCCATCTTCAGGATATGAGTTGCTAACCTCATAGTAATAAGAGATTGTGGCATTTCCAAACATCCAAAAGAGGAAGGATTTTCAGAGGTGGAGTTGGGACAAACATAAAAATATATATACATGTATACTTTGCTTAAAACATCCAAATATTTCATCTAAGAATATGTCCCTCTGAAAGAGGGATGTTTGAAGCAACTCTGAAGGAGAGGAATTAGCTGGGTTGTCTATTCCTGTCCAACTCCCTGCCACCCCTCACCCCTGTGCTGGACAAGAGATGGAGAGGTTGAGGGACAAGGTCTATAGGCAGTTCCTAAGAGGTAACTTTACAAAGGGAGGGCACTGAGAACACATTACCAGGGGATTCAGAAGGTTACTAAATTATTGGGAATGCTAATTAAATAAGCTAGATATTAGGTTCATTTGAAAGTTTCAATTTCTCCTTGGGATGGGTGAGAACTAGAAGGCTTCTCCCTATGATTTCATGCCCTTTCACTCATCCCTTCCTCTGCTAACATCTCACCTAAAGGATAGGGCTGCTTGGGGGCAAGGTTAGGCATCGCTTCACTACCTTGATTCTTGATGCCTGGCTCTATCCCATCTATCTTTTTTCTCCTACCAGTTCTCCTCTGGCATTTTCCTCTTTCTCTGGACAGACAGCCTCCTTTGTGTGTATTCAGAGGCAGTGATGACTTGCTGTCCAGGCAGCTCCCTCTCCTGCAGACAGAATGCTCAGGGTCACTGAACCACTGCTTCTCATTAGAGAGTAGAGCTAGCTGCCACTTTCCTGTGGCCTCCAGAGTGTCTCCATCTAACCTCTGTACTCTCCTGCCACATTGATGGCTCAAGACAAGGCTGGCAACCCCCTCGCCCAGCAACACCCCTGATTCAGAGAGGCTTTCTCATGAGGCATGGCCAAGCCAAACATTCATGTTGTGCCAGTGAGCTAGCCATGGAGCAGAAGAGGGTTTGTTTTCAGCCCCCTCCATCTGGGTCAGAAACAGAGAGCATGCTGAAGGCTCCCTGCTTGCTTAGTAAGGCTGCCCCACCCGAGTCATTGCTCCCAGGTGACTGCAATGCTTGTAGAAGTAGGAAACCTAGTCCTCACTGGGATGTACAAGAAGAAGGGCAAGTTCCCAAGTGCCTCACTTCGAAAGGAGGCCCTGTTCCCTGGAGTCAGGATATATTGCAAAGCTTTGGCTGGGATGGGATCTGAGATGCCATGAACTGTGCTGAATAGTCACTGTTCAGCAAACTAACCAGCATTCCCTACAATATAGCCCAGGGCAGACAATAGTATAGAAGAAGTCCAGAAAAAAACAGAACAGTGTTTTGAGAAACTTGGACTAGTCTTGTACCTCAGTCTGGATTTGCTGTAATGAGATTGTAAGTGTATAATTCTAGATGCTCTGCCCACTGTTCAGCCCCAGTGGTGGAAGGGAGGAGGGCCTTTCCTGCGTTGATTGAATAGAGGCTACAGGGGTTAGACTGGACTAAAGGCATCCTTGTCTTTCTGAGCTGTTCATCTCAGTAGGAAAAAATCTAATGGGAGATCACTGTAGTTTAGATCTGCTGACCTGTGTGCCTACCCCTTGGAAATGTCTGTTGGGTACTTTTAATTCCACAGGTCATCAGATGCCTGCTTGATAATATATGAACAATAAAAACAACTTTCACTTCTTTCTATTGTGATTGTGTTCCATGGATCTAATCTATACCGTGACCCCACACAAGGCTGGATGGAGAACTTGGGCTGAGGGCCTCAGTGTGTGTGGGTGTGTAGGTGGGGGTGTGTCTGCTGGGTAATGCTATTTTCAAGATTCTGAAGCTCAGTTCAACTGATGCATTAAATGGGAAACTCAGATCTGATCAAGAGTCTGGATTGCTAAGTCCTGCCTTGCTTTGTGGGTGTGCTGACAACTTATTTGGGTGCCTTACATCTTTTCTAATCAGTGTTGCATATGAGCCGTCCTCATTCTTTCTGTGGAATCCCTTGGCACTTGAGAGCCAGGTGCAAACCCAAAGTGGCTGTTAGAAAAGGGGTCTGGCTAGAGAATTATCAGTCAAGCGATTTTCAGGATTCCCTTCTGGGCTTCATTTTGGAAACTGTTCTTGGGGCTGTTGTTATTAAGTGCCCACATTTGATGGAGGGTGGAAGTAATTTGAATGTATTTTTTGTTGTTGTGTTTTTTTTTTTTTTTTAGATCAAAGATTGTAGCATTTAAAATGGAAATTTTTCCTCTTGAATTGCTAGTATCTTGAGTGTATTCTCTGTAAGTGTAGCTCAAATGGGTCAGCATGAAAGAGTAAGAAAGCAAGGTGGCAGTGTTACGCTGGTGGTTAAGGCCAGGGCCTCTCCTGCCACTGTGCCACTGACTTGCTATGTGACCCTGGGCAAGTCACTTAACTATAATGTGCCTCACTTTTCCTTCTGTTAAAATGGGAATAATAATACTGACCTACCTCAAAGGGCAGTTTTGAGGCGTGACTAATGCTTTTTTTAAAGCATTTTGGGATCTTTCAGCAGAGGAATTCTCTCAAGTCCTGAGTATTTTTATAATAGCTGTGTCCACCATGAACTTGGTATGTCCATGTGTCCTGGATGCTATCATTAGACTATATGGTTCTCTGAGAAATTGAATGAATTCATTGGATAAGTGGTGGATAACTAGCAAGACAAAATTTGAGAATTCATAAGTTCATTGCCATGGAAACATACACAGGATACCTTTTCCTTGATTGGGTGGGATTTTTCCCTTTTTATGTGGGATAGTAGTTATTTGTGATCTAAGAATAATTTTGGAATAATTTCTATTAATATCAACTCTGAAGCTAGTTGTACTGATCTGAGATTGTGTTTGTTCATAATAAAAGTGAAGTGAATTTGATAGCACTGAGTCTGGGAGTTTTTTTGGCTGTAATTCAAAGTTTCCTGGGATTTCCCTCTATGGTCCACTTTATCTATGCCCTGTACCTTTAAGAGTTAGTTACATGCAGTGTATAGAAGTTAATGATGGTTGACTCATACCCCAGTAACCAGCCCTGCCCTTCCTAAGGGTAACTTTAGGTTAAACTCTGGACAGCAGGAAGCCAAGAGTCTGCTGCCATGAAAACAAACACATTACCACCAGCTAGCACTGGACCCTGGAGAAGTGCCAGGTCTCTTGTGTTTCACGTGAACAGTCACATGAACCCAAGCTAGAGATACTGGGAGAGGAAAAGAGCAGCAGGAGAAGCGCACTCCCTGGGAAAGCAGTTCTTTACCTTATAACCCAGGCTGGGCAGTTCAGCCTGTTAGTGCTTCTGAAATGTATTTGTCTCCAGGGACTAAAAAGACTTCCTGAGATGAGGCACAATGGTAGGAAGAAAGGCAAACCAATCCAAAGGGAAAGTTTGTAAGTTCCCAGAGCAGAGAGGGAGAATCCTCTTCTGGAAAAGAGAGGGGCAGACATTATGGTCCAAAGAACCTCCATATTGCAGTAGGAGCCACTTTAACCAACATCTAGGCTTCAAGAGCTCCCCAGAGCCAGCTCTGCCAGTCCACCTCACTTTCTAATCTAAGGTTGCCCTCATACTGGACGAGAAACTTGGCTCTCAGAGAAATTCTGAATATACATAATCAAAATTCTAGACACACTGACAATAATGTAAGTTTGCAATATTTTCATCTCAACATCTGGCTTTTAGCCTTGAGCCCCTTTCCCTCTTGGCTTCATTTAAAATGTTCAGGCTAGGATATTTTGTTTAGTTCTGTAATTGTACTGTTCCTTCTAAGTCTCTGCTTTGTTTCCCATTAACAGGCATCCAATTTAAATAATTTATACTTATGGCTTGATGCCCCTAGCACAGTGGTTGCAGTACCAGCCACATATGCAGAGGCTGGCAGGTTCGAACCCAGCCGGGGCTAGCTGGGCAACTATGACAACCACAATAGAAAAATAGCTGGGGGTTGTGGCAGGCGCTGTAGTCTCAGCTACTTGGGAGGCTGAGGCAAGAGAATCACTTATGTTCCAAGACTTTGAGGTTGTTGTGAGCTGTGACACTACAGCACTCTACTGAGGGCAATATAGTGAGACTCTGTCTCCAATTTTAAAAAAAAGCAAACAAAGGGCGGCGCCTGTGGCTCAAAGGTATAGAGCGCCGGCCCCATATACCAAAGGTGGCAGGGTCAAACCCAGCCCCGGCCAAAAACTGCAAAAAAAACCAAAACAAGGCTTGGCGCCTGTGGCTCAAATGGCTAAGGCGCCAGCCACATACACCTAAGGTGGCGGGTTCGAATCCCTAGCCCGGCCCGCCAAACAACAATGATGGCTGCAACCAAAAAATGGCCGGGCGTTGTGGCGGGCGCCTGTAGTCCCAGCTACTTGGGAGGCTGAGGCAGAAGACTCGCTTGAACCCAGGAGTTGGAGGTTGCTGTGAGCTGTGATGCCATGGCACTCTACCCAGGGGGATAGCTTGAGGCTCTGTCTAAAAAAACAAAACAAAACAAAACAAAACAACAAATTATACTTATTATATGCTCTTTGCTAATTTCTTATGTCCCCTTCCACAATTGGCTTTGTTCCTTCTGATTAAACATACCTCCTATAACTATATACAAAATCAAACATACCTCCTAGATTATATACAAAATCTATCTTTTGCATATTTGTTATTTCATCTTATTCCTCTGTGCAAAACTGTCAGAAAGAAAAAGAAGAGATATCATAGAGTAGGAAAAAAATTGGTCAACCTATTCAGTTGTATTCAAGATTAAGAGCCTTCCTGGAAGGCTGAATTGTAGAAGAAGCACTCTTCAGAGGCAATGTAGTGAACTGTTATATAGGAAAGTATAAAAAATTAATATTCTGTTTAGAAATCAAGATTTAGCCTGGGAGAAAAGGATAAAAAATAGTTTAAGATAATAATGGAGAAGAGCATGGGAAAAAAATTCCTCATGCCCAATGGCCACCTGTTTCTCCCTTTCCCCTAAAGAACTAAGGAGCTTCCTAAACATGTCTGCCAGGGCAGAAAAAGAAACAAGAGATATCCAGATTGAACAGGAAGAACTATCTACTTGCAGCTGAGATGACTTTGTATACAGAAAATGCTAAAAATATACACACATGTGTGCATACACACACACCCATGAAAGCTAGTAAATGAATTCAGCAAGGTTGCAGGGTATAATACCAATATGCATCAATCTATTATATTTCTATAAACTAAGTAATGAGTAATCCAAAAATGAAATTAAGAAAAGAATCTCATTTATAATAGCATTAAAAAGAAAAAAATAAATAGGAATAAGTTTAACAAAAAAAATATACAAAGATGGCACAGTAAAAACTATAGAATGCTATTGAAAGAAATTAAAGAAGATCTAAATAAATGAAAAGAAATCCCCCGTTCATGGATTGGAAGACTTTGTATTTTTAAGGTAACCATCCCCAAGTTGATCTACAGATTCAAAGCAACTGTTATCAAATTCCAACTCCATGTTTTAGAGAAATTGACAAGATAATCCTAAAATTTATAGGGAAATTCAAGGAACCCAAATAGCCAAACAAACTTGAAAAACTAAGCACAAAGTTGGCAGACTCAACATTTCCCAATTTCAAAATTACTTCAAAAGATGCAGACAATGTGGAAAGGAACTTGTGTACAGATAGACATATAGAGCAATGAAATAGAATTGAGAGTGTAGAAATAAACCCACAAATCTATGGTCAATTTTTTTTTTTTTTTTTTTTTTTTTTAGTCTACATAAGATAGTACTTTAGTTCAATTGGTTTTTGACAAGTGGGCCCACACAATTCAGTGAGGAAAAAATAATTCTTTTCAACAAATGTTGCTAGGACAACTGGACATCCGCATACAAAAGAATGAACTCATCTATTATAGAAATGTTACACAAATATTAACTCAACATGGATCAGCTAAAACTATAAAACCCCTCGGAAAAAAACAGGTATAAATCTCCATCATTTTGGATTAGGCCATGGTTTCTTAGATATAATACCAAAGGCACAACCAATAAATTTTTTAAAAATAAGGAAATTGAACTTCATCAAAATTAAAAACTTCTGTGCTTCAGAAGATAGGATCAAGAAAGTGAAAAGACAACCACAGAATGGAAGAAGAGACTTGCAAATCATTTATCCGAGAATAAATTAGTACCAAGAACATAAAAAGGACTCTTATAACTCACAATAAAAAGACAAAAAAAACCCCAATTTTAAAATAGACAAAGTGTTTGATAGGCATTTCTCCAAAGAAGATACATAAATAAGCACATGAAAAGATGATCAGCATTAGTAGGCATCAAGAAAATAGCACTGAGAAGCACAAGAGACTACTACTTGGTACCCACTAGGATGGCTATAATTTAAAAAACAAACACATAGGCTCAGCACCTGTGGCTCAAGTGGCTAAGGCGCCAGCCACATACATCTAAGGTGGCAGGCTCGAATTCATCCCCCGCCTGCCAAAAACAACAATGACAGCTGCAACCAAAAAATAGCTGGGCGTTGTGGCGGGCATCTGTGGTCTCAGCTACTTGGGAGGCTGAGGCAGGAGAACCCAGGATTGGGTTGCTTGAACCCAGGATTTGGAGGTTGCTGTGAGCTGTGATGCCATGGCACTCTATCCAGGGGGATAGCTTGAGGCTCTGTCTCAAAAAAAAAAAAAACCAAAAAAAAAAACCACATAAAAACATCAGTTCACAAGTGTTGGTGAGGACATGAAGAAATTAGAACCTTCATAAATTGCTGATGGGAATCTAAAATTGTGCATTCGCTTTGGAGAACCATTTATAGACAGTTCCTCATAAAAACACAGTGACTATACGACCCAGCAATGCTACATATATATATATATATATATATATATATATCCAAGAGAATTGAAAATACATATCCACACAAAAACTTGTACATGAATGTTCACAGCTGCCTTACATAACAGCTAATAAGTAGAAACAATTCAAATCTCCATCAACAGATGAATAGTTAACACAATGTAATATATTCATACAATGGAATGTTATTCAGCCATAAAAAAGAATGAAGTACTGACACAAAAGACTATATATTATATGACTCCATTTATCTGAAATGTTCAGAACAATCTACAGACAGAAAGCAGGTTAGTGGTTTCCAGGGACTGCGGGGAGAGGAATTAGGAGTGACAGGTAACGGGCATGGGTTTTGTGGCCAATGATGAAAATCTTCTAAAGTTAGATTGTGGTAAGGGTTGCATGACACCGTGAATGTATTAAAAACTACTGAATAGTACACTTTTAAAAGGTGATTTTATGGTATATAAATCATATCTCATTAAAAAATTGTATGAAGAAAAAATGCCTTCTATTTTAATGTTTTTACTATTATTTGTGGCTGAGATTCAAATCCAAATTTATTTATTTATTTTTGCAGTTTTTGACCGGGGCTAGGTTTGAACCCGCCACCTCTGGTATATGGGGCCGGCACCCTATTCACTGAGCCACAGGTGCCACCCCTCAAATCCAAATGTATTAAGTAAGCACTGCTTGACATAAATTATTTGGTTAAAGGGACACTCCACATTCTCTCAATTATACAGTTATGTGTTCCTTAGCCTCAAACTTCAAGGGGATAAAAAGACTAGCAATGAGAACAGACAGCTGTTACAAACTAGAAAATACATGATGACAATTTTGCTATACCAAATTACTTGGAAAAATCCAGATACCATGTTCTATCTTAGTTAAAGGGTGTTAGGCCATTGCATGAACATAAATCTAACTCCTTTTGAGTGGAAAATTCAAGTTCTGAGTCCACCAGATTTATGGATATAATGATAGTAACAACAACAACATTTACTATGGCCAGGTACTGTGTACTAAGTGCTTGAAGGTGCATTATCTCAC